GCTGTTTGGCACTTTACAGCCGCAGCCGCCCCACTGTGGCATCTGGGGTTCCCAGAGGTTAAGTGTCTTGCCCAATGATACACCAACAGCAGAGATCAGTGTAAGTCGGTGGAGAAAGTCTTTGGTGGGCTCGGACCCACAACCTTCAGGCTCAAAGCCAATAACAGGCACCAAAAGGAGGGAGCACATAACTCTGGTGTTAAAATCACTCCGCTGGCTTCCCATGGAGTACAGAATGAAGTTTAAAATTCTTCTTTTGGCATTCAAAGGCTTGGCTTGTCTTCAAGACATGTTAGTGTCATATCAACCAAACCGAACACTGCGCTTACGCAAAACGCAAGATGTCTAGTGGTTCCTAAGGTCTCAAAAAGCACTGTCGGTGGCAGAGCATTTAGCTACCAAGCTCCTTTACTGTGGAATCAGCTTCCCATTTATGTTAAGAAAGCAGATACGGTCTCTACATTCAAGGCCAGGCTTAAAACACTCTTCTTCAATTTAGCATATGGTTAGGTTGTCTGTCCGGTCAGGTTGTTCGTCTGGTCTTGGAGTCTGCTTGTACGGGACCCGGTCCACTGCATCTTCAACCCTACATCCTAGGCTAGGCTTAAAAGAGTCCTCTTCAGTTTAGCATATGGCTAGGAAGGTAAGACTCAGGGAAGACTAAAAATCTTAGACTGTCAGTCAAGCTGCATAGGGAGTCAGTTTGCTGGGAGAAGTATGGTAACTTTAGCACTATCCTCTCCTCCTTCCTACCACATCTGTCTGCATTATTAGGATTTTGACTGTAGTCTGTTCATTGGTATTCACCCGTTGTCCCATTGTGGGTTTCATGGTACGATGACGGGACCTCTGAATCTGGCCTCCTCCATCGACACCTGCGGACTGCCCCGCCCGACCCGTTTGGGGGCTGCTTCAGTCCTGCACCGGACTTGTCCACGCTCAGCGGCCGCTGCGTGGCCCTGTTCCACGTTCTGTTGCTTAGGTCCTGGATCTATAGCCTGTCCGTCCGTGTGGAGCGGATCCCCCTCTCAATGTGGGTCTCCGCAAGGTTTATAATTTTTTCCCCACTGGGTTTTATGAGTTTTTCCTTATCGATGCAGGAGGGTCTGCTGGACAGTTAGTGTCTAACAAAAAGGACGTGGTGATGATCCAGGACATTCTAACATTCTACAACATGTATGGACATTTATCAACATGTGTTCTATATTCTTTTTTGTGTCTTAACTGTTGATTCTCTGATCTGTGTTGGTGATTTCAATGGTTTTGTTAAGTCCTCTGAGATGACTAGTGTTGGGATGTAGGGCTATACAATAAGAAATTGTATTGTATTGTATTGTACTGCTCTACCAAGTCTCTGTCCCTCTGACACACACATACATCGCTCATCTATCTACACGCTCTCACACACACACAGACACACACACACAGACACACACAGTGAGGCACAGACAGGGTAAACAGGGAAGGGGAAGAAGAGGAGTCATGAAGATCATGTGTCCCATTGTGGGGACACTTCAGTGTTGCAGCGTTGAAAAATATTATTTGTGGTTAATTAAACAATCAGGAAACATTCTCAACTACAAAAAAGACCTCATAAAAGGTGATCGATATATTGCATAATCAACTAACATGTTTATAACACAAGGATGTTAAGCACTCAAGAGGTTTTAGGACTGAAAGTTGTAATCATTGAGAAGTATGCAAAATAATAAATATCTAATCAAAAACATTTTAAAAACATGTTCCTATGAATATACTTTGGTGAAGCCTCATTTGAGTTTTGTCCCAGACAACTAATCGATTAATCAAAACAATAATTGTTACTAATCCATTATCCCAATAGCTGTTAATGAAAGCCCTCAAAAACAAGCAGATTTTTTTATTTTATTATTTTTAGTAGAAGAGCCAAATGAGACAAAGTGAGATAGACTGGTGTGTGTGTGGGGGGTGGGGGCCCACATCCAGATGTTCATCAGCCAATCACAGACCAGCACTCCTTTTTCAGCAGCCTATCACAGCGCAGTGCTACAGTCTCCTCAGGTCAGCCCTGTGAATCCCACTGTGCATTGTGTCCAAAGTTCAACCAGCGCTCCACAGACTAAACACGCGCTCTGCCAAGCTACAACACTGTATTCACAAGAGCACTTACTTTTTCATATTTAATCTTAAATATAGGCTTGACTTGGCAGCAAATTGTGATAAATAAATAATGAAAACTTCACTTAGTGTTTATACTTTTATAAATAATAACACAAATAATATCACAACATCTACATTTAATTGTTCCAAATATTCAATACTCTGAATCCATGAAACAAAATATGTAAAAATAAATTATAGTTGTATTCTCCCCAACACTGCTATGTGGCACTAAACTAGGATTAAAAGCCGACTAAAGAAGAAGACACTATGGGGAACATAGTATGTGTGAAAATTCCAAAGAAGAACTACAAAATGTTTTAGAGCGAGTTAGACCACAACACCTCCAACACTGAAGCCTGACTAAACGAAGGCTTTGCACAACGGAAAGGACTGAACAGGAGCACAAGGACCTGCTCATGGTTTAAACATCAAAGAGTAAGCCCTCAGAGGAAGCGCGGCGTGCCGTTCTGGAGCGATGCCAAACTCACAAACAAAAGCAACAACAAAATGGCTGCTAATTGCAACCATGCAACGAGGGAGGCAATGATGCCACTTTTTCCTAAACCAATACAAGTACTTCTATAGGAGTACTCGCTGATGGGGACTTGTTTTGCTATGAAGTTATCATTCACTTATAAAAGTATTGGACTCGAGCTCCCATTCTATTACATTCTGTTATATTCCCGGGTCAAGGCGATTTCAAGTTATTGAGAAGCCCTGCTCGAATAGTTTTGTGTCGCCATTTGGGCAATAAATAGATTTTAATTATTAAGTCGAATTTGACGATTTCTTTTCTCCAGCGCGGAGCTACAGTGCTAACACGCTAACCGAGTCATTTTGAAAGTTCCCTAATGCTAACAGTCTCCCTTCTGTCCTGACTCTGTCACAGCGTGCACACGTGTCCCACTGAGCCGCTGCACTTTGGGGAAAGACACGTCTCACACATTGCTCTCATTGCTCTGTTACAAACAACGCGTTCGATGCTTTATCTGTTAGCTGCAGTAGCAGAAAGTAAACAGGAAGAGAAATGGAAACTTAAACAACGCGGTGGTCACTGAAGTTAGTATTAGCGCCACCAGCTGGACTGAGTGTTGTACTACAGCACACTGATTCTATACTCAGGCACTAGTCCAGGTCCATGAACAGGGAATGTGATTTTAAGGTGAAGGTTAGGGGAAACTTTATTGTCCCCAAAGGAAAATTAGAATCTGCATTTGACCCAACCCTCATATCTATCCCACTAGAACAGCCTGGTAACGTATAGATATGGTTTAGGTTAGAATAAGGGAATGTAGAGGCCGAGGTTTTGTTTAAGATTAGCAGATTCAGCTGCCAAACTGTTAATGTGTTTCTGTTGTATAAATCATTCCCTCCTTGCGTCATTATTAAAGGGACAGTAGGTAAAATTGTTATTCTAATTTACATTTAAATTCTATATATGTGTTCCCAGATAGCAGGTTTTCATGAACAACCCTAACCAAATCATATTTGTCTTGGTTTGCATCAGAAATCAGTGCTTAAGTGCGACATCCGTCAAAGGCAGATTCTGGCAACAAAAGTGTCATAAAAATGTTATTAGTAATGATTTTATTAGATCACTAGGAGTGCTTATAGCATACTGTGATTTAATACAAGTTCATAAGAGATTAATTAAATCGAATCAGCATCTATTATGTGGTAATGCTCTATTCAAGCTTTATTAACATGTACTTTTAATAAAATGTAAATATTGCTTAATCGTGGCCATTTTAAGAAAATTCTAGTGAGCTGTCACAAACCATTATACGCCACTCATAATGAACATTATTGTGGCTAATAATGCTAATAACATGTGCTACATTATGCCTAAAGAGGCAGAACATCCTTAATCCTGGCTCTGGCATAGGAGCCTGGAGCAGAGGCTTTGTCTTTGAACGCCTCGTGCTGCATTCGAGTGACAGCCATGCTCCGCTCATGTCTGCAGCAGGATGAGTCTATGATCCAGGATGTTTGAGATGCGCTCTCTGAACTCTGCCTGGCTTAAAGTAGACATCATGTCTGCTGCTACATGCGTCAATGAAATGACACAGATGGATCATCATTTTGATTATTTCAATTGTCTATTTGGATGACTTCTGAGTAAAAACTACTATTTTGATTTTTGCATAATCATAAAAAAAAACAAGCAATATGTATTATTGCATAAATAGATGGATTTACATAGAATAGATATGGATTAATAAAAAAATAGATTAAAAAGAGGTGACTAGAACCAGCTCTAGATAAATCCCTCTGACACTCCTATTTTGGTAGAAAAAGGATATTACATCGTGTACATCAAACTAAAGGCTCACAGGTGTGAAACATTTCAATGTAGAAAATCTCAAAACTCATTTGGAGGCAATCCTTTTGTTAGGAATAGGCAAAAACTGTTCTGTTCATGACATCATATTCTAAGGCTTCTTCATAATGTGGCAAATTTGGAAAAGAAGCGTTTCAACACAAAAGGAGGGGGACATTCTTGGGCCGATGTATAGTAGAAGTAAATGGAGAAAAGTATTTCTCAATTTTGGATGTTATGTCCCTTTTAAATGCACTTTTTTTAATATATATATATATATATATTTGTCTGTTTTTAAACATGTATGTTCATCAATATCTTTGGGTAGGTAGTGCTATTTAAATTCGGCCACAGAAATACATTTGACACGGACACTGACATGATACTCAAATCAGACATGCTTCCTGCTGCGCTGAGGCTGGTGTGGGCTACGGACTAAAGCGGGTTCTTTTCATTCACCCACAGAAGACTATTTTGAACCCGAGCGGTGACGCAGAACAAATGTGAGAGATGGAAGCTGCCCAGCCCCTGCACAGCCTCACATCACAGGCTTCACATGGCTCCTGTGCACCTGCTTTGGGGACAGTGCTGAATGGGAAGGAAGAAGTGACACTGTTCCTCAGAATGAGATCTGTCATTTGCAGCTTCACACTAGGACTCCCAGGATTTTGAAACTCTCAAGGCCTGAATTTTTGAACACCCACATTCAGGCATATAGAAAGAAGACTTCGAGGTCCTTGGGTTAGTGTGCATTGAGTCCTTTAACAAAAGATAACATGTTTTTGAATATAAAATAATATCTTCAGAATATAATATATGGTGAAACAAATATGAAGGGCAATGTTATGTGCTGTAACTCTCTATGTCTCGACCAGAGGGATGTGTAGACTTTGTCTCAGTTTATCATTTATTTGAAAATTACCGGCTGCCAACACAGTCATGTGATTGTAAGGACCATTATTTCACTTGTTTCAAAAGACAGGAAACTGCTCTTGAGTGCGATGTCAGTGTTACAATGACGTCATACTATTACAGGATGAAGAAAGGAGCTTTTAGACAGTAGACCTGTGACATGTGGTCAGGTTGAGGGAGATGAGGCAGTGTCACCAGACGGACACAAAAATACATCTACATCTATCGCATTTTTTCTATGTAACTTTGACTTATTTTGTGTATTTTTACCTCAAAATGTAATATTTGTTTTGTATTTTCTTCATATTTGGCCTAGCGGTGCACAGTGGCAGGAGCCAGCCGACCCCCTCCTGAGTGATGCCTCAGCTGTCAGTGCTGGGAATGGTGTGCAGTGTGATTATACTTTTTTCTCTGTTTATATTAATATAGTAGTAGTAGTAACCTTTATTTATATACTGCCTTTTCACTGCAGATCTGAGTCTCAAAGCAGTTTACAATTGTTATTTTTGGGCATTTGTCTCTCACTCCACACAGAGATGGGAGCAGGGTCGCCAGTACAGGAGGCGCATGCTAGAACTATTGGACATATTTTTAGTGGTAGGGGAAACCGGAGTACCCGGAGGAAACCTACGCAGACACAGGGAGAACATGCAAACTCCACTCAGAAAGGCCCTGGTCCGACCGGGATTCGAACCCAGGACCTTCTTGCTGAGAGGCGAGAGTGCTATCCACTCAGCCACCGTGCCGCTGAGTGGATAATAATATCTTAATAATATTGAAACACATTTCCTTTACAAACAATCAACAGTTTTACAGGAACATAATATATTGTGTTTTTGCTCTAAATCCACTAAGTGAGGCATGCAGTGACCCGGCCTCATGGTAGAGGGCCCAGGGTTTGGCCAATATAAATGTAACACATTTTAAAGATGTTTTAAGTGCCACTCAGGTCAAATACTTCAATTGTTGGATGGGAAGTGAAGAGTAAGAAGATGTATATATCAAATCAGGGGGAGAGGAGACACCTGTTTGCTTTTACTTCTTTTCAACTCAACTGACCATATTTTCAAATGGAGGATTACATATCACATAAAACTGGTCTGAATTGAAATGGTGCAGTGGGGAAATTTCAATATCACCATTGCACACGTTACAGCAGAATAAAAAGAGCACTCAAGTTGCACAAGAACTATTATTTGGGTGTGATTTTGGGCTATTTGGGTGTGTATCTTTTTAAAATTTTTAGCAGCAAACACAAAAATATAAAAATATCCACACTCATAATCAAAAAAGTAATGATTTTCTCAAAATACCGTCATAATGTAAACAAAATAACACTGGGTAACAAAAAATATTTTTTGAAAATTGTCCAGGGTTTTCCAGCTGAATTAGACTAATTTTGATGCTCTGAGTCCGAAAATGACCTTGGTTTTGCTCAATCAGGTCAGGATTTTTTGCTAAAGAAATATTTTTTTTTATCGATTTTGCGTAAAAAACAAATTTCTGCGGATCATCAGCTGAGAAACCCTTGACGTTTTTTCCGTTTTCCTCAAGAAATAAAAGTCAACGTATCCAAAGTCATTCAGTTTTTATTTACTCCATCAAATTTGATAAGCAGAATTCATAATAACGTAGACCAGGGGTGCTCACACTTTTTCAGCATGCGAGCTACTTATAAAAGGATCAAGTCAAAATGATCTACCTACTACAAAAATGCAAATCATATATTTATTTCAAAAAATATTCTTTATACCTACAATGTATGTTTATGTACATGCAAAACCGCATGAGCCAATATAGCACAACACAACACAATTACCTATGTACATTTTTTGTCATTACACGAGTTTACGCTGATGACTTGCACTGAATTGAATCGGCCAGGGATGCATAGTCCGGAAAATTGGTGGTGACTCGCTGACAAGTTTGTCGTGGTTTAGCTTTCCTGCACTGAGCGCGGTTGTTTGCGCATGTGCAGTCACCTAAGTGTCAGTAAAACATTACTGAGTAAAACACAGATGTCATTTGACTGTGGTGCCATGTCCATGTGCCATGCCTATTTTTTTTAAATCCAAATATTTCTCCTCCTCAGTTTATAAAATAATTTGCATCCACACATCTGCGTTATCAATCACATTCGTAACATTCCAAACATGTGCGTCTCTTACGTCCTGTCCTGCGTTGGGGAAAAACACAGAAGTGGGCGGAGTTCTGATGCAGACGCCGGTAACGGAACTTTTACAGTCATAGAAGACACTCAGAGTAAAGACGTATGTTTACAAGCACTGACCCCGTCCTCAGCCCTGGTTTAGCCCTGGTTTAGTCCTGGTTTAGCCCTGGTTTAGCCCTGGTTTAGTCCTGGTTTAGTCCTGGTTTGGTTGTTTTCGAGCGTGAGTCCCCGCGATCACTTTGCTGCTCTCTGATGTGGAGCGAGGATGTTCGCTGCTGTGAGCATCTCACAGCGAACAGTTTTTAAGGTAGTATGATCCATGCTTCAGTGATCAGAGGAATTTAGGGGGGTACTGTGGCGTGCTAGAACGCAAAACTCCGGTTATCTCTGTCTACACACAAATGCATTAACGGAGTTTTCAAAAATCTCCACTTTGCCCGGAGTTTTTTGTATATATTCGTTTAGAATGTGTATTTTTTTTATTTATTTAATGCGATCTACCAATACTACCTTTGCGATCGACTGGTAGATCGTGATCGACGTATTGAGCACCCCTGACGTAGACGTACATAATCCGTAACTCTATGGCTGTATCTCAAAAAGTTGACCTGATAGAGCAAAATGCATGTGATATTCGGACACAGAACACCAAAATGAGTCTAAATCAGTTGAGAAACCCCTGACCATTTTTTGGCTGTCAACTAATCATTAATGCAAACGTTTCCACAAAGAAAACAACTTTCAAGCAACAGGACAAACATAACTTTAACACACTAAGGCCAAGACATGATCATTTGCTCCATTTCGATCAATCAAAAACACTTTCAGTGGTGAATGGGCAAAGACATCCCATCCAGTGAAACATGCTTACAAGCTCTCCTCACACACAAACACCTCTTATGATAAGTGCTAATAAACATGATACTTGTGATATTAATGTTGAGTGGACGTTCCGTGGTTGTTGTTACATACCTGAGGAGTAATGTGTGTTGCTCAGGACGCCTGCTGCTTTCTTAGTCCCGACAGGAGGAGAAAACATCTGTAACACAAGCACACTCTAGTCACTCACCACCATGACCGGCCGCCTCATCCCATCCCAAGAACATTCCAGCCAAATGTATCTGAGGGCATTTGTATTCTGTCGTTTAGATCTTTGTAATGTTTCATCGCGTTGAAAAAAAGAGGTAAGTTTACCACTATGTGTGTCCTTGGTTTGAGTAGGAGTAACAAAAACAGAACATGGCTTGTTAAAAAGGTATTGTTTACTCTTATTCTTATTCTTTTACAGTTTAATATACTGTTGTCATAGATTTATAATAATTTCAGTATTATATTGAAAATGTAGATTTTTTTTCTTTTTTTTTTTTTTTAAATATCAAATATAAATAATAGATAAATAATGTAAAGATATTAGAATTGTACCACAGAGAAGACCCTGTCCTCCGGGTTTAAGACCACAGAGAAGGTCCTGTCCTCCGGGTTTAAGACCACAGAGAAGGTCCTGTCCTCCGGGTTTAAGACCACAGAGAAGACCCTGTCCTCCGGGTTTAAGACCACAGAGAAGGTCCTGTCCTCTGGGTTTAAGACCACAGAGAAGGTCCTGTTCTCCGGGTTTAAGACCACAGAGAAGGTCCTGTCCTCCGGGTTTAAGACCACAGAGAAGGCCCTGTTCTCCGGGTTCAAGACCACAGAGAAGGTCCTGTCCTCCGGGTTTAAGACCACAGAGAAGACCCTGTCCTCCGGGTTTAAGACCACAGAGAAGGTCCTGTCCTCTGGGTTTAAGACCACAGAGAAGAAAAGACAGGGTCAGTGGACATTTTTAGATCGGGCTGATTGTCCGGTTCTGCACAAAGCCACGTGGGTTACAGAGGTAAGAAAATCTGTTAAATCATAAAGAGACCGGAGCGGACCACTGAAGAGTTTTGCAAAAATAGACCCACCACACCCGCACACCGACCTGCAGTGCTCCGAGGTCAGTGTGGCGAAGTCAGAGTCCTTGTCTGCACGTTATGGCGTCACCGCTGGCACAGATATATCCATTAACGTCCTTTGTGTTTCTCTCTAAACCAGTCAGAGCTCTTTTCTGCAGAACCTTCAATAACACCAAGCCCTGATAAGATCTGTCAAAGCTATTAAACCAACTAACCCTTCACCTTTAATCATTTTCTGAAATTCATTTTATTCACATATTCATTCATATTTTTGTATTAATTCTCAAAGTTATTTCTGATGATGATGCTTTATGTAACGTTTGTCCTTAAACGCTTGAATATGAGTCAAATTTGAACATAAGTTGTCCTGACCTGAGTCCTGGACATACAGCTCACTGGAACCTATGTGTTTGTTATTATTACATCTCCTATGTTTTAACTGTTTGATTATCTGATCTGTTGTTAAGGAATCTACAACTTTGTAAAGTCCTCCGAGATTACTGCTGTTGTGACTTAAGGCGATACAAAAACGAAGTGAATTGAATTGAAGTTGTGCCGTCTAAATTTCGCCCTGACTCCGGCCTCTTGTGACCCACAGAGATAATCAAGACCTGAGTGTGTGAGTAATGCACTATTATTGTTTATGCTGTTGCTGTTTTCAATCGTTTTACCCGGGATTGGACAGGCAGAAAATAATTGAAAATGGTTCTTCACAAAATCATATTAATTTGCCAAATACAAATAATAAGACCCCTGTCCAAATATGGGTCTTTACAGCGCCCCAAACTTTAAAATGGAGCTTTCGCAAAAGTTCACCGTGGTAGACCCGGCTGCTGCTGCCCAGGCCACAGGCTGCTCTTCCTCAACTCATCAATACCAGCAACGCCCACATCCAGTCAACCAATAACCACCAGGACAGCAAGTTAAAAGCCGGAGACGCCCACTTCCCGGTCTTCTGAAGTTTGCAAGCCTCCGCCGCCCCACCTCCTCCTTCTCTCATGAAGCGTGCTTGCCTACTGCCTCTGCCGTCACCAGTGCCTAGGCCCCGGGGGGATATGTACGCGAGCAAGCGCAGTGCTCAACAGCATCCCTCCCGGGCCTAGGGCGCCAAACATGCTCAATCAATAAACATGCTTAAATCTAATAAGTCTAACGCATTTTCCTCGTGGGTCTCTCCAAGGTGAAATCACCTTGGGCCTGATTGCATTCTCCACCATATTCCCCTTTGACCATAATGCACCAGGATGAAACATATGGCTATCTGCTTCTCCTTGATTCATCGTTTAATGGGCTATGAAAGCCAAATTTACATTAGTCAATCCAATGTGTGATCACCTTTCGTTCAACAGAGTGAAAGATAAACTGCTGAATTGCCATGTATGTGGTCAGATAATTGTTAGCAACATTCAAGAGAGAAAAGAGATGTCTTGTATGAAACTGAATTTGAGCTGCAGTTGCGTTTCATTACAGCAGCAAGATTTTTACAGTTAAAAATGGACAAGTGGCCTTTTAAACCCATTTGTCTAAAGTGGAATATTTTCTGTAGCAATGGATGCAGGACAATACAGAATTAGTCAAAACATGTGATAAAGCAAGTGTGGGGACAGTGTTACCAGACTCATATATTCACTATACATGCAAGGATGACGAACAGTAGATATTTTTTATGATGTGATCATAAGAGGATAAGAGGACTATAAGAGGATTCTGTTTTGCTTTTTTTTTTCCCTTGCAGAGTTAGTGATTCTCTAATTGCACCTACGTTATTTAGATTTGATTGCAAATATGAGATTGCTTCATCCCTGATTTAAACAGGGGGAAAAAACATGTTTTTCCATCTGAAAGGCAGATGACGCTTGGGATTCACTATCAAAACCATTAATATCCATTCCATCATATGTCCATAATCCTCATTATTTCAATACAATGCCTATGATCGTTGATAAACCACTATCAGCTAAGGGTACAACATACAGTTCACATATTATTTTGAATAAATGGTTTGAAACCTTTGTGTTTTACCTCAGCATTAGGCCTGTTGGCATGGATAATAAAAAGATATAAATGAATGCATAATAAAATAACTATATATTATATACTACATTCTAGCAGATGTCATCGACATAGTAAAGGCACAAAAACATACATTACAAATATTTTACATTATATTGTTTTAACATTTATTGCATAAAATGCAATAAATGCAGAATGAGCATGGGCCTGTGTGTGTGACACACACTTTAGGATTAAAAGAATTGATAAACAGCGTTTTACTCTCTGTACAAAGGCAAATATTATATTGCCTGGTCTATTTAGAGAGGATTATTTGAAGTAAAAAAAAAAACATGAATTCCTATAACTAACTAAGTGGATAAGAAAAGCCCTGTTCTGTGGAGGTTGCTGGTTGCATGTCGGGGACAGCCTCTTGCAATCCGTCTGAGCCAAACGCGCAGTGCCAATGATTTTAGACGCAAAAGACACAAGTTTGGTGCGTGCAAAGACAAAACAGTCATGTCTCCTTTAGTTTAGTTAGCTGTCTCCAGAAATGTCAGGCGGTCCACAGTTTAACTGCCTGGCATGGGGCTGCAAGACACGAAGCGGATCGAAATCGCAACTCAAATTGCGTGAGTGGGATTCTACAAGTTTAATCAATATGTTGAGTGAACTTTGTCTGGAAGTCATTTTTAGCAATCTTACAAAAGTGGACACACTCTGTATTCTGGGCAAATACAACATTAAGTCATCGAAACATGGAGGCAAAAAAACAATCGCAATTATCATTTTTGGACAAGCGTGTCGCCCTACCCGTTCGTTAAACCATTAGGAACTCAAACGCTGCACAATGGACACTGATGGAAGCAAGGTTGTGCTGCACTTACCGCACTGAAATCCAGTAAATCGCTGAGTTCCTTGTCCGTTCCGAAAGCTGCCATGCGCTGGTGCTGCTGCTGCTGCTGCTGCTGCTGGTGCATGTTCTCCGGGCGCAGGGGAAGGAGACGCGGTGGGCAGGCTGGAGATCAACCGGCGCGAAACTGCTGCACGCATCCACACTGCTCAGTGCATATCCAGCCGGACCACACAGTCTATGGGTCACAGGCGTGCGCTTCGGTCGTCGTGAGATCGCACCGAGGCGCGGGGATGAGGGTACAGACGCGCACACACTGGTGGAAGTCCTGCTCCTCGCGTGTTGCGTACGGGGAGTTCAGAGTGGCAGAGGCGACCATACAGTCTATGATGAAGCTGCCACTCATGGACGCGCGTAAAAGTGAATAACATGGATAATAAGCGCTCTCAGATGTTTAAGTGTAAATACTGCGGTCAGAACACATGGCTATGGGTCAAAAGTTCACGTAGTTACTTTTCATTGCGATGTTTGAGCAGCCCTTGTTTTATATATGATGTGTTCTATTTGTATAAGACATGATTGAGGCGAGTTCAAATACATTCCACATATTCTCTGAGCTGTGTCCAATCAGAGCTGTTTTTGAGAGTAGAAAACACAATACAAAACGCAACGTGAGTAATGTGTAACTTTCCACCTCTGAATGTGTTACTTTCCATCTCTGAGTACTGTAGTGTAGTGCGTCCTTGTTTTGAAAGTTAAAAAATATCCATTCATACTTTACGTAACTGCAGGCCATAAAAGTAATAGTCAATAACTAAAATCTTGGCTCTTAGTCTGGCAAAACGTTACCAGCTCTTATTTTTGGGGAAGATTGAAACTTCCTCACCCAGAGACCATGTGTGGGCTTTTAATAAAATGTTATTGTTAATGAGTTGTATTGTATTACATTTTAGGAAGCATAAAGCTGAGCATTAATCAAAATCATGCTTACTGCCTAAACTCACTCAACATACCATCCTAAAGGACTTAATAAAGCTGTGGATTTTTTAAAAGCAGAGAAAAAAATCAAACCATGCATTAAAAAAGTACTTGGTCGAAAAAGAGTGTTGCTATGAATATGTTTATTTTACCAGGATCTATGAACAATAAACATTGGTCAAGAATGAAAGCCGCAGCGTATCAGGAAACAGCAGAAGATTCTCATTCACACCTGGGCTCCCTGGGCAGGTTGATGCAACAGTAGGCAAGAAACAGAAATGTAATCTATATGTGCTTGACCACGTTACAATGTTCGCAGGAATCAGAATGGATTGTAACTTTATATGTCTGAGAGCCGTGATCAGGACACATGTTTTATGTTGGGATTTTTTTTCTGGAACAAACACTCATGCAATGCACTCATACTATAATATATATATTTTTTTAAACCCTATAATCAGGTGTTCTTATCAAACAATTATACTTGATTTTTTACGGCATTTATAATACATATATAACAATCTAGATAATTGTTTTTCAAGCTGAATTTTGACCCTATTGCTTGTTATTTACCTGAAAGATCCATGGGTCAGAGTGACTCAAAAGGACACAGTGGGGTTGAACCAGCAGGGGGCCGCTGTGGCTGCAGGTTATCATTCTGACCAATCAGGAGCACACATACTCCACCAATTTCCTGGAGTCCAGCCTTAACCTGAAGAGTTGAGGAAATGGATGGAGTGTAGTATGCTCCAGCTCCAGCAGGAAGGAAAACCTAGGGGGTCTTCAGGGAGAGCCACAGAGAGGGAGAGATCCGCTCGCATGGAAAGACACACTGGAGATGAGTCCAGTGAGTCCTGGACTGACAACCACTAATTCTACTACTACAACTACCATGACTACTACTACTAGAACTGAAGGAAAGATCCACTCCTTTTCATAGACCTATAGATGTCCTCAAGAGTCCGCAGGCTCATCTACGATATTTGCACATCCAGTGGTGTTAGGATTCAGTTTCCCATAAGCTACTTGAATACTTTGTGTTATTATCTCTTTCATACCACGGCACTTTACAATCAGTACATAGTGAATATTGAGTGCAAAAAATGTATCATTGCAGTTTTGTTGAAATAAAATACCCTGTTTGGGCATGACCCTGGGCGAACTGGAAGAATGTCTCTCAGCAGTCTGAGACCATTCTCTGGCCCCCACTGTACCTTTTGGACTAAATAATTATGTGCAATTGTTATATACGGTTTCATACCAATTACTCCTTCCTCATTAACTTCCTCATTACTCATTAACCTCCCTGGTACACATCTAAATATTTGAGTTTTAAAGTACTGTGACCATATTACCAAAGATGGCCCTTTTCTTCTTTCTTTGGCATTTTTGTTTCTCCAGCAGCACTCCGTCAGTTTGAACATTAAATAAAAGTGGGTGAGTAGAGTATTTGGCCAAGTTGGATTGCTGGAGACAGATCTAAGAGTAGGTAGATCTACTTTTGTCTTGGATAAAACTCAGCCAACACACACTGAAATGACATTCTGTGACATGTGTCCGACAACATCAGGCCAGAGAGTGATTTGTTGCCTCCTTGTCTCCTTGCCTCCTTGCCTCGTTGCTTCCTTGCCTCCTCACCTCTCGGATGTGCTGACTGTGCTGGTTGACTGTCCCGTGCTGCTCTTAGTAATAAGCCCTCCACTCAGCAGAACACGGGAACACAGCGCAACACAGCAACCTACATTTCAGCACAATAAATCACCTTTGTAGAAATATCCCACACTTTGGGCTTTGTTTGGGTTGTTTTTGGGGGGGAGATTCAGCAGAGACAAAGTGTGCAAGAAATCAGACTAAAACCAGAACTTTTTTTTTAAGGACAAAAGTGTGTCTATAAAAACCGGTGGACTTCAAAAGGAAAAAAAAGCCTAATTTATTATTACAAAGACGACAACAATACATACAATTACCGACCTGTGTGAAAACTGTAGGTTCCCTCTCTGTAAGCTAGTAACATCCTCTCCTGTTATCATAATAGATCAACGGTACCACTGAGAATGTATTTAGCCAAAAACAATGACATTTTTTTTTCTGTTAAAATGTCTCAACATTTCCGTTTATTGTGAGAGAGCCCACAAACCTTAGCTGCACTTGACCTTTTTTTTAAACAGATTTCTCCCACAGCTTTAAACTTCATTTCTGGGGATTCATGCACAAACAGTGTACCCTCAACAGAAAGTGACTTCATAATTGATCAATCCTTTGTGATCACATCATAGACATTGTTGTTAAATGTTGAGTTTGTGTTCGAGTTTGGAGCTCTGGGAATTAAATTCGGGTTTAAGGGTTTCCTTGTATTATTCAGTCATTACTTGTCATGGCTGTCTAAAATGTCTATTTCAGAAAGGTTTAGATAATACTGTATCATTAGAAAACCAGTGGATTTTGTGCTTTCATGGAGTGCATTCCAGCGGTGACGAAACTGGTGCTTATACGTCTCCCTGAACCCCCCCCACACATGTGCTGGGGCTGCAGGTTCTTCACAGGGCTCATAACGAGAAACAGACTTCCTGCTACAACCTGCTGCTGACACACACACACACACTCACAGACACACACAAACACACGCGCACACATAGTCCCACACATGCTCTCCACATGTGGCTCTTTGAACACATCACAGCGCTGCACAGGGCTGGTTTAACGCAGCTCGTAAAGCGCATTCATCAGGGCAAGCCACAAGTGCAACGTGGGCCACTGTGGAATGGAAAAAACAAACACATTTAAACATGGTAATAGTAATGTTGCCAGGAAGAAAGAATGCTGATAGTAGTTTGTGTTGGATCAACCTGATGTGAGAATTATTATGAGTGCTACCCACTCATGCTTCACAGCAAGAAGGCTGGGGTTTGATTCCTGTGTCGGCCTTTCACCTGCACCACCAAGCAGTATCATCATCTGGAGATGGGTCCTCAGGTGCTGCACTGTCATGGCCACTGCTCCTAACAGCTTCTAGTAGCAATGAAGGATGGGTCAAATGCAAGGGAACCATTGTGGTTTCAACTACTAATGGCTAATACAAAAAATAACTTTCAAACCTTAAAAATATGCAACTACATTATGAAACCATGAAGTCCATCACTCTCAAAAACAGTTCACAGGCTTGTGTCTTTGTCACATCTGCTTGATCAGCTTTTTCAGACAGATAAACAAAAAAGAAAGGCCCCTCCCACTAAGTCAATCGGTTCTCAGCCCAAAGCCCTAAATAGTGACTCAGGCCTTACAATTATGCAAAAGAGTTCAATCTCAGTATGTTGCAGTATGTGTAGTCTTATTTTTCACAACATTTTACTTGAAGAAGACTTTGAAATTAACATTCAAATGCATCAATATCCTGGCACCAGAGCCACTAAGTTCATTTATACAGAGACAGACCAGCAACTGAGTCACCAGAAGTTCCTATCACAACAACTGTGCAATTCCGCCGAGGAAAACCACATTTGGTCAGTCCACTTTCTCCATAAAAACGGCCAAACTGTCATGTCTGGTTAAGTTGTATTCTGTGATGTAAAGCTGTTTTATTTTGAAATTTGTTTCTCGTTAGACTTCCTTCCTGCTCTTCCCTGTTTCCCCGCCTATGTGATTACCTGCCTCGCCCCTAATGTGTGACACCTGTGTCCTTGCCCTCCCCTCTGTGTATATAAGCCTGTATCTTCCCCATTGTCTCTGTCAGATTGTCTTTGTCCATGTGCAGGTAATCATATCAGTTTGTTCTTGTATGTTTTTCAGTTTTGACTGACTTTCTTTTTGTTCTTTGTCCATGTGCAGACTCTGTGGGAATTTTATGTTAACGATCCTGATCTCTGACCACGAAAATAAAAGAAACTGAGCAACGCAGTTGGGTCTCCTGTGCTGAGTCTGATAGCACAATCTGACCAACATGAACTCAGCGGGCTCAGACTCCACTCCTGTTACCCAGGATCCAGTTCGATCTGCCATCCAAGCCCAAGGTCACTGAATCCACAAACAGGAGGAACTACTTGGACAACTACGTGGCGACTTACAGAGGATGGCGGACCAACAGGAGTCCATGATAGCTGCCTTCACAAGCCAACTTAACATGTTGGCAGAACGGTTAAGTCCCAGCCAAGCCAACCCAGACTCAGCCTCAGTAAGCGCAGCTTCATCTGCTCCACCGGTACCACCTGTGAGTAACGCCCATCCTCCTACCATGCCTTTAGCTCAGATACAGTTGTCTCGCCCAGAGAGATTCTCTGGGGACTCTGGGGACTGTCGCGCCTTCATTACTCTGTGTGAACTCCATTTTGAGAGGCAGCCAGCAGTTTTTCAAACCGATAGAGCTAGGATAGCCTACATTATCTCCCATTTGACTGGCAGAGCTGAGGCTTGGGCTACTGCTGAGTGGAGTCAACGTTCTCCAGTCTGTGATTCACTTCAGGGGTTTATTAGAACCTTGACACAGATTTTTCACCATGTTACTCCGGGTAGAGAGGCTGCTCGTTCTCTTGTTCAGCTGCGACAGAGGTCAGAGAGTAACTGATTATGCTATACAATTCCGGACTCTAGCTGCCGAGAGTGGATGGAATCCAACTGCACTGTTCGATGCATTTCTGAATGGACTTAATGATTCAAGATTGACAGGCGGCTAATAGAGCGGGAGCATGAGAAGTGTCGTAGGATTCCTCAACAGTATAGGGGGCCGTGTTTCTCACCAGCCCAGGGAGCAGCTAACTCTGAAACCCCTGCCCCGTATCCTAGAGAGGACGAGCCGATGCAACTAGGACGCACTCGTTTGACACCCGAAGAACGAGAGAAGCGTATGAGGGAGAGGCGCTGCTACTACTGTGGGGGGTTTGGTCATTTCTCAGCCACATGCTCGGCAAAAGCTCGGGCTCGCCAGTGAAGAGGGGGGCACTGGGGAGCCATATCAGTCCTGTGAACCCCTCTCGTCCCACACCTCTCGTTACACTCACCTCTCCTTCTAGTTCCTGTAGAATGCCCGTATTGATTGATTCTGGATCTGATGCTAACCTGATGGACCATGCTCTGGCTAGAGAACTTAATTTGGTGGCGATTCCCTTGGAACATTCTCTTGTCGCCAGTGCCCTAGATGGTCGTCTGTCAGCCGGTAAGGATTACATTTCCCGATCAGCACACTGAAAGTTTAGGGTTTTTTCTGTTCAAATCTGGTCAGCACAGACTGGTTTTGGGATGCCCATGGCTTGAGTTGCACAATCCGGTCTTCAACTGGTCACAAGGGAGGGTCTCTTCCTGGGGGGTGGAGTGCTCCAAGAAGTGTTTCGACTTACCTGAGGCCGTTCTCTCTGCGTCCAAGACTGGTCCGGAATCTGATTTTCCTGATATCTCCCATGTTCCACCTTGTTATATGGATCTGAAGGAGGTTTTTAACAAGGCTAGGGCCACCTCCTTGCCCCCGCACCGGTCCTATGATTGCGCCATTGACATTTTGCCTGGTTCCACTCTGCCTAAGGGTCGGCTGTACTCTTTATCGGGACCTGAGACCCGGACCATGGAGGATTATATCGAGAAGTCACTCGCTGCTGGTATAATCCGTAGGACATTATGAGTATCTAGTGATGCCTTTTGGGTTAACTAATGCGCCAGCTGTTTTTCAATCTCTGGTGAACGATGTCCTTTGCAATATGTTGAATATTTTTGTTTTTGTGTATCTGGATGATATTCTCATCTTTTCCCCTGATGAGAACACCCATGTCCAGCACGTCAGGAGAGTGTTGCGGAGACTTCTGGAAAACGAGCTTTTCGTCAAAGCTGAGAAATGTGAATTCCATGTGCGAACGGTATCATTTCTGGGCTACATCGTTGCAGAGGGCGAGCTCAAGATGGACCCAGGCTGTCGCTGAGTGGCCCACACCCGAGTCCCGCAAGCAGGTACAACGCTTCCTTGGTTTTGCAAATTTCTATAGGAAATTCATTAGAGACTTGAGTACTGTTGCTGCCCCTCTGCATGCCCTCACTTCTGTCAAGACCAGGTTTCAGTGGACACCCCAGGCTGATCACGCCTTCAAGCGGTTGCGGAGGCTCTTTACCACGGCCCCTGTCCTTGTACAACCCGATCTCCAGCTTCAGTTTGTGGTAGAGGTGGATGCGTCTGAGGTCGGTGTAGGGGCTGTTTTGTCCCAGAGGTCAAGGAAGGATGGTCGGCTCCACCCTTGCGCTTTCCTGTCCAAGAAGTTAACGGCCGCTGAAAGGAATTATGATGTCGGGAATTGTGAGCTGCTGGCTATTAAGGTTGCTCTCGAGGAGTGGCGGCATTGGTTAGAAGGGGCAGAGCTGCCATTCCTGGTGTGGACGGACCACAAGAACTTGGAGTATCTGAGGGCCGCCAAGAGACTGAACTCCCGTCAAGCCAGGTGGGCCTTGTTTTTTAGTAGATTCAATTTTTCTGTGTCTTACCGCCCAGGCTCAAAGAATGTGAAACCCGATTCCCTGTCCCGGCTCTCTGACTCTGAGATGGCTCCTAAGGTTCCAACCTCCATTCTGCCTCCCTCATGCTTGATTGGCGCTGTCATCTGGGAGGTCGAGGAGGAGGTCAAGAAGTCCCAGTCTACGGTGCAAGTTCCTGCTGGATGCCCCCCAAATCGACTGTTTGTACCTACCCCCCTACGTTCCCGTGTTATCCATTGGAGCCACAGTTCTATGTTCTGTCATCCGGGGGTCAGGAGGACTGTGTTTGTGGTCAAGCAGCGCTTTTGGTGGCCAGCTATGGAGAATGACGTTAGGGATTACGTGGCGGGATGTTCTATTTGTGCCCAAAACAAGACCCCACGTCATGCTCCACCTGGTCAGCTCCATCCACTCCCAGTGCCTCACAGACCATGGTCGGACATCTCTCTAGATTTCGTCACTGGCTTACCACTCTCTGAAGGTAACAGTGTGATTCTTACTGTGGTTGATCGTTTCTCCAAGATGGTTCACTTTGTTCCCCTGGCCAAGCTTCCTTCAGCTAAAGAGACTGCTGAGATAGTGTTGGCACAGGTTTTTCGTCTTCATGGTCTTCCCAGGGATGTCGTTTCGGACCGGGGCCCGCAGTTTGTCTCCGCCTTCTGGAAGGAGTTTTGCACCTTGCTGGGAGCAACGGCGAGCTTGTCATCTGGTTACCATCCGCAGTCCAATGGACAGTCTGAGCGCCTAAACCAGGAGCTGGAGTGTGGCCTGCGATGTATTGCCTCCCAGAATCCGACTTCATGGAACAGACAACTGGTATGGATAGAATACGCCCATAACACCCTACCTTCTTCGTCTACAGGTCTCACCCCCTTCGAGTGCGTATATGGATATCAGCCGCCATTGTTTCCTGCTCTAGTGAAGGAGGTTACTGTCCCCTCAGCCATGGCTTTGGTGAGACGTTGTCGTCGGAGTTGGTTGCGGGCTCGTCAAATGCTTCTCCGCTGTTCTGAGTCCTACAAGTAGGCTGCTGACCGTCGCTGCAGCTCCGCTCCTGCTTACCAGGTTGGACAGGGAGTCTGGCTCTCTACTCGGGACATCCCACTGAAGGCGGAATCGCGCAAGATGGCTCCGAAGTTCATGGGTCCCTTTCCCATCTCACGGGTCGTGAATCCAGTGGCTGTACGTTTGAAGCTTCCTAAATCTCTGAGAGTTCACCCGACGTTCCATGTGAGTCGTGTCAAGCCGTATGTGGAAAGTACCCTCGTACCGAAGGTCAAGCCCCCCCCCCCCCCCCCCCCAGTTGATTGATGGTGGCACAGCATATACTGTCAGGAAGCTGCTGGCTGTGAGGTAGCGGGGACGGGAACGACAGTATCTCGTTGACTGGGAGGGGTATGGCCCTGAGGAGCGGTGTTGGGTTTCTGCTAAGAACATTCTGGACCCTGACCTTATACGGGATTTCCACATAAACAACTCTGCCCAGCCTGGGCCGTCTGGAGTCGGCCCCTTGGAGGGGGGTACTGTCATGTCTGGTTAAGTTGTATTCTGTGATGTAAAGCTGTTTTATTTTGAAATTTGTTTCTCGTTAGACTTCCTTCCTGCTCTTCCCTGTTTCCCCGCCTATGTGATTACCTGCCTCGCCCCTAATGTGTGACACCTGTGTCCTTGCCCTCCCCTCTGTGTATATAAGCCTGTATCTTCCCCATTGTCTCTGTCAGATTGTCTTTGTCCATGTGCAGGTAATCATATCAGTTTTTTCTTGTATGTTTTTCAGTTTTGACTGACTTTCTTTTTGTTCTTTGTCCATGTGCAGACTCTGTGGGAATTTAATGTTAACGATCCTGATTTCTGACCACGAAAATAAAAGAAACTGAGCAACGCAGTTGGGTCTCCTGTGCTGAGTCTGATACAAACTTTGGAACTTGCTGCTCACCAACCTGAAAAAGAAAATCAAATTTAAGGAGTTCTCATCAAAGCTCAAGCTACAGTATTGCTTAGAACAAACCAAACATGCACCCATTTCTAAACTTGTAAATAATAATTTGTGTGTGTCATTGATTGTTAGTGTGTGTTGTCCTTGTAGCTTTCATTGGTGGGGGGAATGTCTTAATGTTAGATCACTGTAAATATGTGTTTTAGGAATAGGTCTATTTTATTCATTCTGTATAATGTGTTGCATTATAGGGAAAAGCTCAACCGGGGACAGGAGTTGAAAATTAGCATTAGCTATACACTCTGTGTCGCATCAGCTGCATCTTTCCTAATGTGACTACGTATGACTACATTGTCCCTGTCAAATAATAAAAAAATAAATAAAAATGAAGATGCAAATAAGCATCTGCTTCGTCCAAACCCTTTTCAAATGGTGTATCCTGTTTATGAATGTATCATCATGTGAAATATGTGTACTCAAGTTTTAAATAGATACATAAATAAAATAAAATAACTTAGTATTGCTGAAACAGCAGTCCAAAGCAGCCCGTGGCTTTTGCGCATCTGTGCAACTTCAATCAACAGTTTTCATGTATGAGTTGTTTATACAAAATGTTTTCCAACCAGTGTGTCATGGAATGTTGGTGTCCCTTGAGATGTTGTTGTTGGTGTGCCTTTAGAAATGATCCAATATCTGCTTATTGGTCAAAATAATGTGACCAAAAAGAGAGATTAAAAACCCATGAACATTTGACCAAATCTTTACACTTCGTCGAATACTCGAGGAATCATGGGAGTGTGCTTTGTGGATCTGGAACAAGTGTTCGTCTGTGTTCCCCAGGATGTTCTTTCGGGGGTTTTCTGAGAGAATGGGGTCCTCTGCTGAGGGCCGTTGGATCCCTGTTTGAACAGGGCCAGAGCTGCGTTAAGATAAGATAGACTTTATTGATCTCACAATGGAGACATTTACATTTACATTACATTTGGCGTAGATAGAATCACTCAGAAACACAGAAGTGTGCAAACATGTTTAACTTTAAAAATATAGTCTGTGCAGGATATAATTATGTACAATAAAAAGGCAATAGGAGTGTTGGTTCTTCAGTCCTAGTGACTTAAAGTGACTTATCATACAGTCTGACACCAGTGGGGATGAAGGCCCTGCGGTAGCGCTCCTTCTTTCACTGAAGGAGCTCCTCAGCTCCTCTACAGTCCTGTGCAGTGGGTGGGAGGTGTTGTCCATGATGGAGGTGTATGGCAGAAGCTACCACAGAGTCATGAAAGGTCCTGAGCAGTGGCCTGCTCACTACGAAGGGCATCCTCATCAGACTGGTGGGAGAGCGTCCTCTACTCCGATGTTGGGCCTGTAGGCGAACTGCAGCGGTTCCAGGGTGGGGCTGACCACAGAGCGGAGATGGGTGAGGATGAGCCGCTCCATGGTCTTCATCAGGTGGGAGGTCAGTGCGACTGGTCTGTAGTGAGCCGGTTCCTTGGTGTGCGCTGTTTTAGGAACCGGGATCACGCAGGAGTTCTTCTACAGGA